TTAATGTAACACATCAGAAGACCTAATAGTTTGACATTTTGGGTAACGTGGTTGTTCTCTTTTTGCCAAGAGTTCAATGAGAAGATTGAACTCTCAAAGCATCCATTTAACTTGTGTTGCAAAAAGGAATCCCACAAGGCTGAATGTGAATGAGGAAATGTTGTTGTGAGTTTTCATGGAAACATTAGAAACAGAACATTTAGAAAACATTTAAAAGTACAGTATATATACCAACAACAACAATAATTCCATAATTGTTAAAACAATGCATTAAAAAAGGGAGGGACTCTGGTTGGGGTGAGACATGTAAACCTGCTGCTTATCAGAGTTATTTGGGATTAAGACATGTGGGATAAGGCTGAATCTCCACCGCACACCATCTGTCCTCACACTGCAGTCTTGTCCTCAACTCTGTCTTCTCTTTCATTCGCTTTTTCTTTTTGTGTGTCCTTCATAAAAAACGTTCCAATCTTACCTCTGCTTGTGGTTCAGTCTCGTCCTGACTTTCCCTGATTTCATGACCCCATGTTGCCCTAAGAGCTTCTCAGAGGATAAAAACTGGATAAAATGGAATTGTGTTTACAAGGTGAGGGGTTAGCTTTCCATTGAGGGATTTGGGCAATAAGATGCTCGAGTTTGAAGGGTCACTTCACCCAAATCACCCAGCCATATTACCATTAGCAACACGTAGGTTTCTATTTGTTTTGGTTTTGAGATATCTTGTCTTAGATGTTTCTGCTTCCATCCCAATACAACAACATTGAATGTAATCTAGTTCAGTGGTTCTCAACGATTTTGAAGGCCCGATTTTCCAACGCTGTGCATGAAGTAGCCGTTGGACTGGAATTACCAGAGACCATAAACGGTTTTGAAAACTTCTGTCACGTAGTGATCATCTTCTCAATAAAACGTCTTTGCTGATTTTTTCGTGTCTTCTGTCTTCGGTATAAAGAGTAGTTCTACATCAAGATTGTTGCCGGAAGTCCCCACGGAAAATAACTTTGATGTAGAACTAATCTTTATACATCCATGGGTACAACTTCTGATAGAAATGAACACATCATTAAGTATGACCCCCGGTCTATCTACCCTTACCCAAAATGTAAAGTAATTCACATAGACTATCTCCTCTTTGCTCTTTTCTCTGTGAGGAGCAGCAAGCTGTCAGAACAAAGTGAAAAACAAACAATGGCATAACATATTATTAATATGTCGGGTAGTAATAGATTTATTTATTTTCTTCTCAGAGTGTACCAGAATGTGTTTATATGTTAGTATTTCTAAAAAGCTCACTTTAATTAATATTGTATGCTGAAGCGTATAATTACTGCACGATTTTTTGTTGAATAGATTTGAGTGTTTCAAAATGTTGGGTCGCGATCTATTGACTAATGAAAAAGTGGGTCCCGAGGCCTGACCAGTTGAGAACCACTGATCTAGTTGATGGTGCTTGCAGCATATTATTTAAAAATCTTTGATAATTACTGTTTTTCTTTGCCAGGCACAATGCATAATATAACAATTGTAATCCACCACACAGTATAGAAAATAACTATATAAATGCAATCAGTATACAACCTACACATCTACTACTCACTACCTCTCCCCATTAAGATAATCACAGTGTGGGATACTAAAGGGCTGATTACTTAAATACAGGACTGGAAATAAGGCTGCAGAAGAGCAGTGAACATTATCAGGCTGTAAAACCTGATCCCACCTGAATGTGAGGAACACTGAGATGCATGTAAGTGGCTGGGGACCAAAGTGTGTGTGGCTGCAGATGGAGGAGCGCTGGTGGTGTGTTAGGCATGAAGTATGAGGTAAGTTCCTCTGTCTCTCCCTCTCTTTGTCCCTCACCCTCATGGGAGGCCCTGTTGGTTTAGCTGCTAAGCTTTCCCCGGAAACACAAATGATGGACAGATAAAGAGGTTAAAACAGAGAAAGAGGGGAAGAGAAACCGAATAAAGAGAGTAGAACCTATTTTAAGGACTTGTTTTGCTCCAAATACTTATATTTTCCTCATCTCTCAATATTTTCTCTGCTCATCAGATTGTTTTTTGTTTAACGGCAGAGGGAAATAGTCAAATCCTGTTTGTGCATCTTGAGCTGTTTCCATGAGTGTGGTTGCCCTTAAGGTTTTGTTTACACTTCAAATCAGATTTGTAAATGCAATATAAACTCACTGATTCCTTAGAGAGACCAAATAAAGACACAGAGAGTTTGAATGAACACATTTAGCTTTAAGGGAACATTGAGACAAATGTATTGTGCATTTCTCTCTGCTGTGCACAGACAAGTTAATTCACTCATTTTTACTCAAACTGCAAGCGGCAGGGCAGTGTGGAGGCACATGTGGCGCTACTTTGATTTGTAAGAACAGAAATAAACCCCACTGGGGAAATATTGAAATCACAGCAGCAGTAGCAACACTATTTGGTTTACTCATAATGTTGGACATTTCTTTTTACTGATCCATTTGCAGATGTATCTGAGTGGATGATACCAAGACTACATCCCATAAAGATTCAAACAAAAAAGGGGAACCCACAGCAATTATGTGTTTCCATTTTTAGGACATGTTAGTTATTTCTGAAGGTCAGCAGGCCGACAGTCCCCATATGTTGACTGGTTTATTTGATGAAGAGCAATGGTGTCAGGGAGGAATTTGAAATCACTGAAATAATGAAGGTGGTCCTGTATTATTATGAAATTGAAGCCATCAAAGGAGGCGAGTGTCAACAACCAGTTTTGAGATGTCTATAATTTAGTGTATTGTGTTTTGGGTGCATGTTTCTCATACAATGTGTTCTCCATTAAATTAAAATGCACTAAGAAGAAACAAACCCCGGGCCCGGAGTATACAATACTCATTATATAATTTTTTTTAATTTAAGAAATAATAAGATTCACATTTTTATAAATACTCACACATTAGCAATTGGGAGACCATGGTGAGTTAACATGGCGGTCTTGCACTTACAAAAAGCGTTCTCCTAACCACCAAAAAGGCAGTAGAAGAAGTATTACAATCTTTGGTACCACTTTACAATAAGACTTATAAAGGGTTTACAAATAGTTTGTAATTAATGTATTAATTAGGTTGTGAACACTTTATAAATCATTAATAAGCTTTTATAAGACATGAGATAAACAGGGCAACTGTGACCAGTTGCTTGCCAAATAGTGAGCCCACATCTATCTGTACTGCTAAGCCTTATATTGGCTACTTAGCTTACTTCGTCTTCTTCATCAGCCAGCATCCTTGGTATCTGTTGTTCACCGAGTTGATTCTCGCTAAGTAGCCAATATAAGGCTTAGTCATCTTGCCAAATAGTGAGCCTGTGTTGATCTATGTTAGAACTGGTTTATAAATGGTCCTTAATGATTAATAAAGTGTGTACAACCTAATTCATAACCTAATTATAAACCCTTTATGAATCCTTTATAAGGGTAGTCTTAAGTAGAAATCCTGCATTTAAAATATAAATTAAGGAAAAGCACTGAAGTACAATCAGCTAAAATTGTTATATATTTGTATTATTAGAGTGTATCCCTAATGTTGAAGTCTATAAAAACGTAGCCACATTTAGATACTTTACCGACTGGCTTAATAGTAAAGTAATGCATCATATTTGACATGCTTCATGCATCATGTACAGTACAATAAATGTATATGTACATAAAATGAAACTGCCACTGATTAAAAAGTTCACACAGACATGAGATAAAGTTACCAGCTTGAAACCATTTTCAAAACTCAATCAGGTAGTTTCAATAGACTTCTTAAATATGGACATACATTTTTATCCCCGTTACAGCCTGCATTTTTTCATGATGGTGGTTTTATTCTGGTATCCCAGCGCTTATATCTGTGGACATACTGTATCGGCTCAGTTCAGTATTTGTGAGCATCCACTGTGAGGCAGTACAGAGTCTACAGCCCATCTTGTGTCAAGTCTACTTGACACAAGAATAAACTTTCATTTCTGATGAAAAACTGAATCTGAGCTCTCACCTCGATGCATCTTAGTGGAGAAGAGTGTTTAAAGACTGTGTGTGTGTGTGTGTGTGTGTGTGTGTGTGTGTGTGTGTGTGTGTGTGTGTGTGTGTGTGGTGTGTGTGTGTGTGTGGTGTGTGGTTGTGTGTGTGTGTGTGTGTGTGTGTGTGTGTGTGTGTGTGTGTGTGTGTGTGTGTGTGTGTGGTGTGTGTGTGTGTGTGTGTGTGTGTGTGTGTGTGTGTGTGTGTGTGTGTGTGTGTGTGTGTGTGTGACTGCATGTGTGTAAATTCCCAGGTTTGACGATAGTGTGTATTTTACCACACGCCCTCTGAGTCTCCACTGAAGTCTCTGAGCTGGGTGAATACTTCCTGCTGCCCTCAGAAAGGTCACTGTCTGAATGACAGATGGAAGGGCTTCAAAGATAAAAGAACAAAAGGTTTGGAATCATTTACTTCAGATTATTTCATTCATAAAGGTGAATTAAAGATGTAAACTCTCTGACATGTGACGTGTGTGTGTGTGTGTGTGTGTGTGTGTGTGTGTGTGTGTGTGTGTGTGTGTGTGTGTGTGTGTGTGTGTGTGTGTGTGTGTGTGTGTGTGTGTGTGTGTGTGTGTGAAAAGATACAAGTAAACAGGAAGGGACGACATTTAACAATTGTATGATAATGGAAAAACTAAAATAAAGAGCGACAGACAGACACAGCGAGAGATAAATACAAAAAGACAGAAAGAGAGAGAGACATTGTCAGAGAGCTGTGAACATGCCTGTGAACCATGAGAGATGGATGTGGGGATAAAAGAGAGCGAAAGGGAGAGAGAGAGACAGAGAGACAGAGAGAGAGAGAGAGAGAGAGAGAGAGAGAGAGAGAGAGAGAGAGAGAGAGAGAGAGGAGGGGATTGTTGCAAACAGGGATTTGCAGCAGAGGGGAGAGAAAGAAAGGGGGCAGTGGCACTCAGTGACAGAGTGCTATACACACTCACATGCGAACACACACACATACACACTCTCTGTTTCCTCTGTATCTCGTTCCAAACGTGTCAGTCAACCAGTCAGTTGATTATTTGTGTGTGTGTGTGTGTGGTGGGGGGATGTTGAAAAGAGCTCGTAACCATCCTTCATCTCTATGACCGACGGTAAGATCATTTCATTCATTTTCACTCTCATGTCATCCGTCATTCTACTTTGTTGTCTCATGCCTGTGTGTGTGTGTGTGTGTGTTTTGCTCTTTTTGGCTAACTTTTTTACTGTGACTCTGGTCCAGAGCCATGTTGAGGCCTCCCTGGAGCCCTGTCACTGTTTGCTTTCTTTTACAATCCGTTTTGAACCACGGGGGGTCAAACTAATGAGCTGTGCAGTCGAGGCGTTAGTCAAAGGTAGACTTTTAATAAAATGCTCATTTTAATACTAATAACTTTTATATTTGAGGGCCTTTAATCAGGGTTGTTGGAGGAAATACCTTTGCTCCACTACGGCTCTTTGATGTCACCACGGTGTCATACTGATTGATATTCTATACTTGGTCTGTTCACTTTGTTTAACTGTGTATGAAAGGACAAATTGTTATTTTATTCAACAAATTGAAAACAGGGTAACCTATAAGTCATTATATACTGTATTGATTCATGTGTTGTATTCATATAGCTTTGCATGTGAAACAAAGGTTTTTGATTTTAAACCATACTTCCAACTTCCTAAGTTCCAACATTTGAATACAACACACACCATTTTCAGCTTTTTTCTCCCCTCCACTGTATGGAAATGAGTTCCTTACAATATGAAAGAGTCTCAGGCTCTGGATTAAAGTTGATAATAGGATTTGTTTTCGGAGATGTGAATCTTTATGTCAAAAAGCCCTTTGAATACTTGTGCTTCAGTTGGTTATGTGTTCATGGGCAGATCTTTCCAGAAAAAATTACATGTCATATCTATTGTGTGTGATTGCATTAGCGTAATAACTAGGAATCGTTTCTACATAGAAATACCCTTGTGACAAATTGTTTAATAGATTTTTTTATTCACATACAAAATGAGAAATTCTTGCTGGCTAGAGAGAAGCAATGTGGAATTGTTTGTCACCTTCATAAGATGACATTTCACTTTTTGAAAAAGCATGGCATATGTTAAGAAGTACATTTGTAAAGTTTAGGAATCAAAAGAAGTTTACATTTGTCTGCACATGGCACACACTTTGGCATCTGCAAGTACACATGTTTGTGAGTGTGCAGGCATTAGCCCCATATATGTGTGAATAATGTGGTGGGCAGGGGGAATGTAGTGCAGATTACTGCCACATTAACAGGCCCGACACACTGACTCACACTGTCTCACTTCATGTTCGACAAAGTCAGAATTGCCTTCTTGTCAAGGCATTTATAGTACATTAGTAGGCCTACGGTGAATATAGAATAATAACATTTCAATCATGTTGGAAAATGAACTAGCAGGAAACACTACAGACTTAAAAGGTTTTAGTGTAAAGGAAGGTGTTTAATACATACAATGACATGTATTAAGGTTATATAAAAGGGTTTATATAATACAATTAACAGCTTTATTAATGGTTAGACAAATAGTAATGCCTAAATGGCAAGTTAAAAGCCATCACTAAGAACAACTTTTGGGTTGCAAATGTGTATTCTTCCAGCATATCCCCTTCCTTTTACTTGTATTAGAATTGCCTTGTGTTAAAAAGTGCAATACAGTGTAAATGCTTGCTTTGCCTAAATAGATTTTATACGCATTGTAAAATTATGCTGTGGGAAGGTTTTCTATAACCTGGAAAGAAAGTTATTAACTCCTTATGACTGATCTATAAAGCATTAGTGAATGTCACACATGTCACACATCAAAGTCTGTCTACACAGGTTTTGGGGAGTATTACAGCATGGCAACTTGGCAAGCTTTAAAATGGTTTCCTCCCAAAAAGTTGTTTAAATTCAAGCCACTTTCATCAGCATTGTTGGTCACTTAAGACTCTGAAATGTGTGGATTTAGTAAAAAGCGACCTTACCATACCTCCGTAGACCTCTTCTGTGTTCGAAGCAAGCAGCTTCATTAGTAGTTAGCATTACACTCTGCTACCTAACCAAACTGTCTGTGATCAAGTTGCATTGTGGGTAGTGTAGACAGCTGATTTTCCAACAAGTCCTCCAACTCATACGACCAAATAGGTAGATTATTCAAGCCCTTATTACGACCAAATAGGTTGTTTGTTCAAGCGCTTAGTTTTAAAGTTTTCGACCTCTAGTGCTCCCGTTGACTGCAAACGTTACAGAGGGTCGTTTATTCACAAATAACCCCTAAATTGTTGGATAGTTTGGCCATTAAAATGCTTTTTGATTAGATTTCTAACGAGAAGTGTATATTGTACTTTTAGAATCCACGTCCAGTGGATGTGTAGGATCTATAGTTTGATAGATATTACGAAGATGATTTGAGGTTTCGCCAGGAGAACGTGTATATGGGCAGCTTCCATGTAAAGTTAGCGTCAACCCTCACGGGGTGAAAGCTACGGTGGCCCTGAAGTGCAAGACAACACAGCATTTCACAAAACACAACAGCATTTCACAAAACGCTACAGCATTTCAGAAACACTACAGCATTTCAGAAAACACTTCTGGGCCACCGTAGAAAACAGAATTTCTGGTCTCGAAGTTTTCATAATAAAACCAATGATCAAATGATTTAACAGTGATATCTGCAGTACTCATCCACTAAAAAACATCAGTTTATCCTTGTTAATTACACAACATTAATTGGTTTAAATTGTGTACAATGCTTTTGTGCAGGGACGTGCACAGACATTTGGCGGGGCTATTGCTCTAAACTGGAAAAAGGGCCTCCCCCCGAAAAAAAAGACCTTTTCAAAATTGTAACTTGTTTTTAATGTAAAAGAAACCAAACGATTATTACATCAACTGAATTGAACAGTAAATCACATCTTATAACAAAATAAGCTAAGGCGACTACTTGCATTCGGTGACTTGATTTTAAAAATGAAAACCAGGGAAATTTTTTGTTTTGCATATCTCATTCAAATATCTAATGTTAGTAACTATATACAAAATGGGGACAATTCTGTTATAATGTAGTTCGACCAGACCATTGTAACTGCTGTGCTGTCCAGACATACTGATAAAATAGGGCCTCTAACTAATTGCCTTAAATAAACTCACTAATTAATAGGGATGTAACGATATCAAAAACTCACGGTACGATAATATTGCGATAACAAGTCCATGGTACGGTATTTATCGCGAAATGTAATAATAAAGAAAAAAAAGAAAAAAAATGTTTTGAATTTAAAAAAAGGTTACTTGGAAAAATGTTCTTTATTAAATAATAAATCTGATTTGTACAGCATTTTAGTAGGATAGCAGTATTTTAAAGTGTCGAAAACAAAGTGACAGTAAAACTCACAAATACCTCATTCACACCAACGCAACTCCGGTTCAAGCTCCGTGCTAGAGCTTTTCAGGTTCAGAACCGGTTCTTCGGTTTAGCTCCGGCTCTTTTCACACCGCCCAGAGTCCGACTGGTGCTGCGTCATCGTTTGCGTCATGACGTAACCGTTTGCCGCCTGCTTCATAAAACCGCGCGGAAACCCCTCACAGCTCACACCGACAACAACAACAATGGCCGATTGTGCTCCAGCTTCCTCTGTACCTCTTCGGAAGACCAAATTCCCAGTAGGTAGCTGGTCTCTTCAGTGGACCACTGCTGCTTGTTAAGTTTCTCCATCGTTGTGTACAAACTGGATAAAACGCCGGCTTTTTGTTGTTGTTCAGGAGTTGATCCCGCCCCTGCCCCCGCCTCGACGTAAGCGTGACGTATGCGGTGCTTTTGCTCTAGCCGGACAATTTTTTGGTGCTTGAAACGAACCGGATTCCGGAGCTAATACCTCATTCACACGAACGCAACTCCGGTTCAAGCTCCGTGCTAGAGCTTTTCAGATTCAGAACCAGTTCTTCGGTTTAGCTCAGGCTCTTTTCACACCGCCCAGAGTCCGACTGGTAATGCGTCGTTGCGTCATCGTTTGCGTCATGACGTAACCGTTTGCGTGCCTGCTTCATAAAGCCAAACCGCGCGGATGAAATCAGTTGCATTCATTTCTTATGGCTCTATCTGCAGCTTTTCCGGAGTCATTTCTGTGGTTTAGTTATATTCTTATAAAAAAGTGTACTCGTGTCAATAAAGGTTTTTTTAAAACACAACTGCTTCCGAGGTCGGTCTTATTTCTTAAGGTGGACTGAACCATGAGTGTGGAGTAACGTTGTATCTTTCATTTAAATGAACTGTAACCTTCACCCAGGTATGTAACAGCTGTTCTCAAATGAACATGTGAAGTAAAATTTAATATTTATAGTTTTATAGATTTATAATGAGTTATAATGAGAGGTGATCAACGTGAATGCTCAGGTTCCACCTTAACACGCAGACACGTTGCTTCACCATGAGCAGAAACCTTTATATACAGTCTATGGCAGAAACACTGAAACTCTTGTTAAGTTTCTCCATCGTTGTGTACAAACTGGATAAAACGCGGGCTTTTTGTTGTTGTTCAGGAGTTGATCTGTCTCTGCCATGGATGTGTCTCTGCCTCGACGTAAGCGTGACGTATGTGGTGCTTTTTCTCTGGCCGGACAATTTTTTGGTACTTGAAACTAACCGGATTCCGGAGCTAAGAGGCTGCTCCGCTGCAGTGTGAAGAGGAAAACCCGGTGCTTTTCAAGCTCCAGCTCCGAACCGGCCCTGAAACACCGTTGGTGTGAATGAGGTATAAGAGGCTGCTCCGCTGCGGTGTGAACAAGAAAACCCGGTGCTTTTCAAGCTCCAGCTCCGAACCGGCCCTGAAACACCGTTGGTGTGAATGAGGTATTATACCTCATTCAGCATCATCAGACAGGTTTTTAGGAATATGAGAATGTCCACATTTCCAGGTAGAAGCTGGGATGTTTGGGCATTTACAATATCCCCTGCTGTGGAAAAAACTCTCTCGCTTGGTACTGATGTTGCTGGGACAGCAGTGGTCGCGTTAACCGAATATTTTTTTTAACAATGACGGAAAAATCTGAAAGCAGTCTGTCATTTTGACAGATTAGAACAAACTCGGAACAGTGCCAAAGTTTCCCCG